TACAGCTAGGGTGTCACGGCCGGGCCTGTTGGGTTCTGCCTGATTTGTTTTATTGGCGGCCTGGGTGGGTGGGGATGTGGCCTGAGTTTGGGCGGGGGGCTGGGGCGGGACCCAGGTCCTGGCTATGGGACATCCCTCCCTGCCCGGAGCCCTGGCAATTAGGGCTTGGGGTGGGTAGAAGGGCCCCTAGGCTGGGGCCAGGGTGTGTTGCATTCTGGATCGTTTGCCCACTTGGATTCCCAGAGGACTGGGGAACTCCAGACCCCTGCCCTCCTGCAGAGGGTGTGGGTTCAGCGTGGGAGGCTGTGACCGTGACCCAGACCCGGGGTCAAGTCCTAGCCTTCTATGTCCTCAAGCCCCAGTTTTCCTCATCTGTAAAAAAGGGGACTTCCCTGGTGCCTCCATCCCTGGGGAGCACAGCGAGGTGGGTGCTATTATCCAGGCCGTTTTGCAGGTGGGGACACTGAGGCCCAGAGAGGTTGAGGCTTAGGCGTCTCTGACAGAGGACGCGTGCGTGAATGGGGGAGGTTTAGCTCTGGGCCTGTATACAGCCAGTGCTCAATCTGGATGAGCCATCATCTCTGTTAGTCTGAGAAAGGGCTGTCTGGGTGCTAGTAGCGCCTGGAACTTGGAACCAGAANGGCCCCCCCCCCCCCCCCCCCCCCCCGCCACGGCCCTGCTTGTGAAGCAATAATCCAAGCCTCGATTGGGTGGGCACGGTTGGGGACAACGTGTTTTTCTGTGGAATAGACAGGTGGAGGCCTTGAGACCTTTGGGAGTCCCGTATGAGGAGACCCTGTTACCCAGGCCCGCTGGAAGGTGGACAGAGGGGGCGGATGGAAAGAGTGTGCTCCTCGGCCTCCAGGGAGGCCACCAGTTTTGCATCCCAATGACAGCGGATGTGAGGGATTTTCCCAGTGGCCCTTGTGGGCCGATGCCAGTGGAAAGGACAGGGCAGAGGGCTCCGGTGTGGTCTGACCGTCTCTCTTGCCTCCTCCCAGGTTTCTGCAAACACGTGAGTGAGTCTGATGCCAGCTGCTGCTCCCTGGTGCCCAGTGTGAGAGGAAGGCATGCCGCACCAGCCTTCAGCCTGAGCCCGGCGGCCCCCGCCCCCACC